CTCTCTTCGTTCCGCCCATGGAGCGTTTAATACAGCTTCTCACTAACTAAGTACTTATACCCATGGTTTGTATCAGCAGCATTTGGTTCAGGGGTCAAGGGTCAAGGGTGACTCTGAGTTTGATAAATTGATTGAAGTCCTTCGATTGCCCTATTTGTAGATATCGCGAGGTGCTGCGACCCAATCACTATCTCCTGCTGTCCGCCAAGTACTCGCTATGCCAGATTTATGGCCGCGTCGAGGGATATTTGCTGCCGCAGCTCTCCCCACGGGATATTGAGCGCAAGGAGCGCTACTGTCGCGAGTTTCTGGCTGTCATTGATATACTCGAGCCGGGTCTAACCCGACTGCGTGGTAAGTTAGAGACTCTAGAAATAAGTATCATTGGAAATATCCAGAAATTGTATCATTATATATAGAGAGTTTTAAATGGAGCATATATAGTTTGCCTCCAGAGTCTAAAGTGTATAGAAAAGAATTTAAAATTCGACTTCAGTATGTAGATCTCGACTTTGATGTTTCTAATACTTTGCATCTATTAGTCTATCAAATTAAAATATCGAGAGTATACAGAATACAAATTCGGATATTCTTTAAACTCCCTCTTCATGTACCAAGCACTCACCCGAGTTATCTCTATCTCTTGCAGGTCTCATCATGTACGAGCTGCATGCGCCGATCATGGTGCTCGCCCAGCTGGGCATGCAGAGCGGTCGCATGTCGCGCCAGGAGTTCCAGAGGCGCATCAAGGAGGTCGTGCGACTGCTCAAGGAGAGCGCACACATACTGCAGCTGGAGCCGCCCGGTTCTAGCGAGCACGAGATGGGCCTAGCCGCAGCTGATGCGCTGGCCAAGATAAATGCACAGCTCTAGACCAGAGAACCTCTACGAGCTGGACGACGTGCCGAATGGATGATAGATATATGATGCATGCTATTGATGGACTTGTAGAGTGTTTTGAAAAGACTTGACCAATAATAGAAGACTTTGTTCTATTTCAATTCGAGGTGGGAATGGAATGTGAATCAAGCTATGTAAACTCCCTGTTAACCTGCACCAGTTAAGGCCACGTTGCCCTCCTGCCCATGCTGTATTGCTCGAACTGTAATGCTCGTCTATCTCCATAATAATCTCCGAGAAAAAACTTCGGTGGCGGGTAACAATTTTTAATTAGCCAACATTTTGCTTGGCGAGACTCGTTCCATTATCTCCATCAAATCGAAATGGCGAAACTGTAATCTCGTCTGTCGTCTTTTGTTTCTCTTTTTTTTTCCTTTCTCCTTTGTGCTCGCTCCGCAGTGGCGAGCTCTGAGCATGCCCGACTAGATTGTACCTTGGACAACAAGCTGCGGCAAGTGGAAAGCCACACATGAGGCATACGACCTGAGCCTTCACTACATCAGTCAGACTCAGTGGAACTTAAGCCAACAGCTCTTCTGCCTACTCTGTAGTAGGCAAGGATTAAGATGTTGGCTATAATGTCAAGTTTTCATATATGTATACTAAATCGATACCAATTGAATTGCCGGTGCCAATATACCCGCTTGGTGCAGCTCTGCTGGGTGCGCCGCAAAAGTTTGAGTTCAACTCGGTTCAATTCAGGGTTCAGCTGTGCGAATCTTTCGGAGTTAAACTAATTGCGGAAACTCTGAGCGACAACAGCGCAGCGGAAGTGGACGCAGCTGCCACGCCCACCAACGCCATTCCATACCATTCCACTGCCGGCAACCTCCCTCCACTCGCATTGTGCTTCGCCCCTTTGCATTGATAGTTGACAGCGAGCTGAATGCTTATCGCAGTGTTAATTAATGCTCAGTTCATTCTCGGCGTTGATATGGCAACGCCGAGCGCTGCCCAGCTCCGGCAACTCTGCGTGCATTAGTTGACTGAGTGATTGTCCCTCATTACACTTTCACAAGTTCCATGAATCGTGAGTTTTGAATAGCCTTTACCTTAACTCTGAGACTCTGTGAGTAAATTCCAATTGGAACCGCCTAGCATACGGCAAGCCAATTGCTGTACATATCAATTCCAATTGGATGAGGTATACGCGTGTATATATATATACGAGTTAGATAACTTTAATGCAAGGCTTACGGCATTTGTCTGCTCCTTTTGCCTGTCCATTTATCTGTCGGCATTGCTGTCTTACAGCTGGTCCTCCCATTGGACTTGCTCCAATTAGACTGCATTAAGCTGTCGGCAACAGGTGGATAACGGTTTAAATGCAGTGTCTATGCAGTTGCTGAGCAAGCGAAACGGCAGCTTAGACAGTTAGATACGTATACAGACAGAGATATATAGAATAGAGAAGAAGAAAGAAGACGATGAAGAAAGAAATGTAGCAGAAAGGAGAAGGAGAAAAAGACGGAAAATATGAGAAGAAAAAGAAGTGGGAAGAGGGAGAAGAAGAAGATGCATATGAAGAAAATGGCGAAGATGAAGAAGATAGAGAAGAAGAAGAGAGATAGATAAAAAGAGAAGGCTGCCAGCTCAGCTCCATTGGAGCACATGCTCTTCTCTTACATACAAGCATATGTGTATGTGAGTCTCTCTCTATGCATGCATGCGTGCATGTGTGTGTTTGTGTTTCTTACAAAGGCATAAATGAAAGAAAAACAAGAAACGGCAACAACTAAAAGCGTACGATAAATATAAATTGCATTGTGCAATAATCTTCAAAGTGCAACAAAGTAAAACCAACAACAGCAACAACAACAACAGCAACAACAATGCCATGAAGCAGAAGCTGAAGCAACACAAAACACAATGAGTATCTGAGCAGGAAAGAGTAAGAGAGAGAGAGAGAGAGAGAGAGAGAGATGACGAGGGTCAGGGGGAGGGTTAGAGATTGAAGCAGCTGAAAGCTGGTATCCAGTGGGTGCCAAGCATAAAGCCACATAAAAAGCAAGTCGAGGCAGCCAGGCAAGCAGAAGGAAATGCGCCAACAACAATAGGAAGACCAAGAAGGAGCAGAAGAAGAAGGCGAAGAATTCTGCTTGGGCAGGATATAAGCGCACACACACACACACACACACGCATACACACAGCGAGAGAGACAAAGTAAACAAGGCAGACAGGTTGCCTAACCAGCCAGGCTAAGGCGGCACGGCTGGCACGCCCCCAGCCTTTTGCCAGAGCATCCAGCTGCTGCTGTTAACTGGGCCCACAGCCGAAGCCATTGGCGTCGCACAAATGGGGCGTCAGTTGGCCAAAGGGTTCATAGGACGGAAGAGTTGATTCCATATAAATATAGCCTAATATCTAAGACTCTATGTATCTCTATAGCTAATACTCTATATACTCTATCTCTCTCTCTCTCTCTCTCTCTCTCTCTCTCTCTCTCTTTCTCTGTACGCTGTAATTGAACCCCGCTAGGTGGCGCCACTGCCTGCGGTGGCAAGCGTTATGACAGCGAACAGTTATGGCTAGCTGTATCTTTTGTATTTACTTGTGCGCCACATGCAACATGCAACAGCGACAGCGACAGCGAGACGACTAGGCAAAGGCACAGGCACAGGCACAGCCAGAGGCAGAGGCACAGGCAGTGGCAGAGGCACGGCGACTGCAATGATAATGCGCCGAGGCGAAGGTCCCCATGGCAAGGAGCTCAGCCTCGACGCTGGGCTATCAAAATTGTTGCTTATTAAAATAAAATTTATTGCTTGTTTGCTGATAAAAATGAGGAAGATGAAGAAGCAGAAGAAGATGAGTAGAAGTGGCTGAGAGAGCAGCAGCAGAATGAAGAAGAAGAAGAAGAAGAAGAAGGCAAAACTTGGTTAGCCTCGTGTGGCACGTAAAAGTGTTAAAATGATAAGCAGCAGCGCGCGATAGCGCAGCAAACATCAGGAATATTGCTGCAGCAGGAAATGCAGCAGCATAAAGCCATAAAGCCAAGCGGAGCACAAAGCGAACAGCAGGAGCCGGAGAAGGAGAAGGAGAAGGAGCAGCGGCAGGAGCGAGTCTCGAATGAGAGCGAACTGCTTAAGACAGTCCCAGACAAAGGCCGAAATGCAATTAAAGCTGCAAAGGTGCAAAAGCAATGCAAATTCTCAATGAGCTTCTGTCCCACACCGACTGCTCAATGCTCGCTCAAGACTGACCGATAAATCCAGTACTCTAAATGGGAAGCAATTGAGAGGAAGATCAGCTTTAATCATTTTCAAGGCCGTTCAGTCATGTGGAGTGCATGCCATATGAAGTACAAGAGGAAAACTCCCTAGAAAACCTCTCTAAAAGAACCACCAAACAGAATGAGATAGAGATATATCGATATATATCGATATGAATTCATAGTAGTCAGTAGTTAACCCAAGCCAGAACCTATATACCCACTTTTGAGTTGCCTGGGCGAGCATCATTGCCGACCCGCTTAATGAGCAACTCGCTCAAGAGTCCGCAGATTCCGTTTGCCTCACGACCGCAACTTCTTCAGCTTCAGCTTCTGCTTCCTCTTCCACTGCTCCTTCAGCTGCTTCACTCCATTGGAGTCGAGCTGTCTCTACTTGGACATGCCCGTTCGGGTCCTTGACAATGCCAGCCAGTCACAAGAGCAGCCGCCAACTGTCGCCAAGTATTTCGAGTGGCTCAAGTTATTTTGGCTCACCCTAATTTGTACATACCCCTCAAATGAAAGGCGTGTGTGGGGCGTATTAGCATCGAGCTGATAAATCAATCTGATTGGCCTTTGTCCACTCTAATCTGCAGAGTCAGAGTGATTGATTCAGGACCAGGGAGATCTTTAACATCAACTCCATGCCTGAGTAAGAGCTCTTTCGAAGTCAACTCATTGAACTCTGATTGATCACTAAACTGATTGAAAGATCAGGATTGATTGAGTTGCTTTACCAACAAGGAGCTATTTCTTATAGCAAGCCTTGGACCATGGACTAGTCTCCACATAGGCTTTCTCTACAGACTTAGCCAGAAGGACACTTACTCTTATGTGGAGTACAGCTAATGCAATGATTGACTCTGATTGACTTGAATTTATGACGAGATACAGTACTTGATAAAGTTTATTTACATCAATCATCAGCTACGCATCAACTGTGCGATTAATCGATAGCTTGATTGAAGACTTGCTTGTAGGGTATACGATAGTTAGGGTATTCTAGTATTCGGTAGAGTAAAGTAAACGTATGTGCTCCGGGCCAGACCTCAAGTGCTGCGTCTAGACGGGCGAGCCGTCAGCCGAATTCCAATCAGAATGGAGAACTGCAACACAATTGGCAATCAGCTGGTGCGCCTAGCCACAGAGTTGACAAAGTGGAGGAGCAGTGGCCAGCATCAGTAGTTGTTGTAGCCCATCTCGCTGAGCAGGGTGTTGCCGTCGGCGCTGGAGGAGGACGAGGACGAGGCGGCGTCCTGCATGTTGCGCAATATGCGATGCCGGAAGTGCATTGTCCGCAAGCGCTGCATGCGACGCTTCAGATTGCAGTAGACGGGGCAGCAGTCGGGGAAGGGCTTGTACATGAGGTCCTCCTCGTCGCCCTGCTCGCACTGCTCCGGCAGTATGTCCAGGCAGCTGGGGGAAGAAGCAGAGAAATCGAAAAGGTTCGCATTAGCCAGAGTCGAAGTCGAAGCCATGAGTCATGCACCCATGCACCCATGCAGTCATGCAATCATTCAGTCATGCAGTCTTGTTGTTGAATAATTAAGCTTCACTACTCGTTCGGTCTAGACATTTTTTCCACTACGAAAATAGACCTGGAGCGCGGCATGATCTGATTGTTCTCGCAGAACAGGTTCGAGCAGAGGCTGAGCAGGACGAGCCGGCGCGGCAGGAACTTTGACTGCTCCCACATGCAGCGGCGATAGGAGCCTGCGAAGCGACAGAGACAGATTACAGATTACACTGGTATTCAGATATTCATATGGAGAGCAGATCTCTTACGTAACACGCTGTTATCATTCTCGCTGGAGTCATCTGGATTGTAGCCGCGCTGCAGCTGGTAGCGCTTCATGTGGAACTGGCCAAAGCCTTGGCAGCTGCTTAGCCAGGCGAGGCTAAGCCAGGCAGCAGCTAGCAATTGCAATGGATACATACTGTCTCTCTCTCGCTCTCACTCACTCTCTCTCTTTCTCTCTCTCTCACTCTCACTCTGTTTGTCTGTTTGATGCACGCTCTCTCGCTCTCTCTGTGTGTGTATCTAACTGTTCAGCCTGGCTGTTCTTTGGCTACTAAGCACTGAGCGTCTGCTGCGCGACATTACGTATACGCAATGTTCTATCACCTCACATGTATATATATGTGTGTGTATGTGTGTGTGTGTGTGTGTGTGTGCTTCTATCTAACTGCACAGCCTTTGGCTTTGCTTGGGCTATTCACAATATTACGTATACGTAATGTTATATCAACTCAGCTACATGCACACATATATCACTGTATGAGTATGTGTGTGTGTGTGTTTGTAACAGTTAAATTGGCCGCGACACTTGATTAAATCAACAAACAAACAAAACGAAAAACAACTTAACAAATGCAAATTTTTCGTTGATACGAAAATCGAGGGCTGCTGCGGCGAGCGACGCTGCCGCAAATGAATATGAATATGAATACTAGTTGTGAGTACATTCACTCGGTGCCCAAACAAAACGGCCATCCGCCCAAATTATGCGAAATTGTCGCCCAGTTAAAGCGCTGCCAGCAAATCAAAATAAAAATCACATTTCAAATGAGAAGAACAACAAATCAAATGTCAAGTGCAGCCCCAGACGGCATGAGATAGCGGGAGGGAGATAGCCAGAGTGATAAAGAGGAAGAGCTATAGCTAGATAGTTACTAAATTCTGTATTTACAGTTGTCAAACTCTTGGCTACAAATCGACTCTAAGCCAGCGGAGCAACGACTCAAAACTTTCTCGAGCCATTAAAAGAAATGCGAAAGGCTCGAGCAGCAGGGCATGCCCGACTGCAGCAATGCTCGCTCAGTGCAGAGTGACTCTACGATATATATGTGAAGAGCTTACCATGCGACGTTAGCCAACACTGATTACACAGCTGCCGAATAGTCTAGCATCTCCACAGCTGAAACTTCCGAGCAGAAGCCAAGCAAAAGTTGCGCCTGCTCTTCGAGTGGGCAACTGGCGATGCAAAAGTAAAAGTTTCGCAAAAAACTCTAAAATTCATAAATATATACAAACACATATACACTCTCATAAAAATATAAGCACACATACATATATTTGTATGTGTATAGATGGCTTCATATATGAAGCGACGACTGCGAAAATCGTGTAACGAAATTTCGTTTGAGTTTCTTTTCGCTCTGCTGCCACGCCCACTCGATGACAAAACTTTTTTCGCTCAATAACAACGCAAATAAGTTAAATAACTTTTCGCAGCAACAACTCGCAGCGCAGCGATAAGCAAATCGTATGCATAATTGCAGTCGCAATATTTATGCGAGGCAAAGCCCTCCGCTCTAGGCAAATGCCAAGCCATAAGTTGCGCATACGCCCCGTGGCATATCACTAGGCAAACGTAAAATCTATATACATATGTATGTGTATGTCTTATGCACTCATTGTAACAAATTTCAAGTCTGATTAGCTATACAAGAGTGAATGAACTCTGCTTAAAGAGGAGTGGATATATGTGAGCAATACGTATACGCAGCGGTGCACATGAAAATGCATTTGGTGCAATGCCAGTCATATATTACGAGCATTACTATGTGAAAACATTTCATCTGACATTTATAAGAATTTCATCTAAGACTATGCTGCCTGTTGCTCCTTTAGGTCTCTTCCAATCGCTCTCTCTCTCAATCTCTCACTATCTTTTTCAATCTCTCTCTCCATCTCTCTCAATCTCTCTCTCTATCTCTCTCTATCCCTTTCTCTCTATACCTCTCTCTTGCTCTCTCCCGCTCTCTCTCTCTTTCTCTCTCTCTCATTCTGTTTCTGTATATTATCCCTCTCATTGTGTCTCTCTTCCCTATTTCTCTCTCTCTCATTCTTTCTCCTTTTCTCCTTCATTATTTCTCTCTATTTCCCTAACTCTATCTCTTCTTCTTTCCCTCTACTAATCCCTCCTATCCTTCTCTATTTCACTCTTTCCCTTTCTCTACTTTGCTATCTCTCTGCTTCTTGATTTCTCTCTCTCTCTCTCTTTCTTTCTGTCTTTCCCTCACTCTTTCTTACTTAATCTCTCCCACTCCCCCTCCTTCCTTATCCTTATCTCTCTCTCGCACTCTTTTTCTTTCTCTCTCTACTTATCCATCTCTCTCCATCTCTACCTTTCCCTAGTTCTCTTTCATTCTCTCTCTCTCTCTCTCTTTAATTTTTCTATTTCCTCTATATTCATGAACATCTCTATCTCTCTTCATCTTCGTCTCTTTACCAATTTCCTTCTCACTCTGTTTTGATAACCTTCTGTATCCTTCTATCACCTATATACTATATATATACCATACATACATATAAAGACATATATTTATGTATATATGTTTTTTCTTTGCCCTTCAGTTGATATATTCCTTTCAAGTTCCCCCCACTTAGTGGAGCAATTGCGATTGTTTGCGGTTTCAATCAGCTGTGGCTGTGTTTTCAAGTATTTTTTAAAGTAATTTAATTATATTGAAATTTATTATGAAAACTCTAGCAGAGGGAACAAAGCGAACACTTTAACCAGTGCCTGCCACCCACCCACCCTCCTGCCCGGCTTCCTTTCCCCAGCTCTTTTCCTTTATTGGTCAGCAGAGCAGACGCCAGATCCTTGTGCTCGCATCCTGAAGGGGGCAAAGGCGGAGGCGGAGGCGGAGGCGAAGCTCTTATATTTGAAGCACGTTGCGCCCCAACGAGCAGTCAGCAATTAAGTTTGAGCAAGTTAAAAGTTTCTGCCAGCGACAAACGTTGTCTGATGCGACCCTTTTGTGTGTGCACGTGGCCCAATACGTAGCCATTGTTAGGATACCCCGTAACGGCAAGGGCGGCTCCAATGGGGTCATATAGGCGATGAGAGTAAGGGAGAGATATCAAGATACCTATGAAAGAGAGACAGAGAGGCAAAGAGGCAGACGCATCGAACCCATTCGCTGCAACAAATACCATCCAGCAATCCATATACCCACTCAGGCATTCACTTTTCACAAGGGGTATACAAAATACATAAAATAACTTTGGCATATTTTCTACCTGTTTGCTCAACTTTTTACATACATCAATTTAGGCATTTATCAACTCAGGTTTCATACATGCTCTACAGGGTATCTGCCAATCGAGCCGTGAGCGTGCGGCCGAGCTACACGCATCTGTAATTGTGGCCGCGTCTGCACGTGTTGTTGCGAAAGGCGTAAACTGTATTTTCATGACACTAAACAAACAATTAACTCCACACCAAAGCCAAGACAAAGGCGCTGGCAGAAAGTGGGAGAGAGGAAGGGGAGAGGGGGGGGAGTATAGGGGTGTTAGCATGGACGTGGGGTAGCGAGAGCTTAACTGGTCTCTGCGCCTGGTTACTTCATTTCGTCGGGCCTCATGTCAATTAGAATGCTAATTTTTATGCAAATTTTTGCGGATAGAATTTCCGAGTTTGTTGTTCCGTCCTTCGGCTGTTCGGATTGCTGTACGTCCGTCCCACTGTCTGTGAATCTGTCTGACTGGCTGGCTGTCTGGCTGGCTGGCTTGTTTTGTTTGTCTGCGCGTCGGCTTTGTCTGGCACTTTTGTTTATACGGCGCCAGCTTGTTCTTTATTATGGACAAGCAAACAGTTTTTGGCGGAAATAAACCAACTAAAATGCGCTGCCAGAGGAAATTGCCAGCAGGTCGTCGCAAATTAATGGACATTCCTGGCCATGCCAGCTCCAGCTGGCAATAGGCTTCACTGCGCACTGCCAGTCCTCGTGGGTACAGCGGGTGGCAGAGGGTGGATGCTTGCCTGTACTTACTGTAAACAATCTAAACAGCAGGTAACGAAAGCAACTCCTCTGTCTACTCCACTCCTGCCTCGACTGCGACTGCCTCGGCCTCATCAAAAGTATTTCCATAAATTCTTGCATCATGCTCTTTATTCATCAAAAGCTGTCTTAGTTATGCAAGGGTTCATGAGAGTTGGAGAGACGCGCGCAAGAACTATCGATTGCTTTTGATATTCTAATTTCACGTTCAAGTCTCTCATTTACTCAATGTTTGACACATTATTCTAAGCAAAGAGCTCAAAACTTGTCGATACTTATCGATAAATTAATCGACTTATTTCTTATAAATGGGTTTTATCAGAATATCACCTTCGCCTTTTACTTCAAGGTAGACAAAGGCAAAGTTTTCATTTCTTCAGCGCAGATTAGCCTTGTGATAAAGTAGTTGAACATGGTAAGACATCGATAAATTGTTTGCTAAAGTAAAAATCGTTTGCATTTTCAGTAAATATTTATTAATGCATAGAAATTAAAGTTAGGAAAAAAAAATAACATTTTATATTAGATATAATATTACTGCAGAATTATCCATAACACAATTCCAGGGGATTTTTAATCATATCATAGCTGGAGCACCTGTTTATAGCCATATCCTCGCTTAGGCATATGCAATACACTTGTGTTATCGATAGTTGCGCAACAACAGGAACCAGGCTGACGATCAGTAGTTGGGCTCGCTCCCAAAGAACGTGAACGTCTCATTACAGCGTATCTCATAGCAGTCCGGAAAGGATGTGAAGTGCCGCGACAAGCGCAAATCGAAGATGAATTCGCAATACGGATAGCTGTCAACATATGTAATATTCAGTTAAGATTAGAGATCAATCAATATATGTGTGATGTATGCATTTCACTATATAAAAGGTTTGACTTGATTGACGCACTGTCTAGCTGACTCACTGAAGTTGACTGTATTGCAATTGATTGATTGACTGCTTGATAAACTTATTGACCTACTTTACGTACTAATCATACAAAACTGCTTGACTGATTGATAAGCAGATTGAATGAGAGATGATTCAGTGTCTGAAAGAAAGCGAGGGCTGACTCTAATAAAGCTAAGGTCTATATATTTGATTGATTGTCTGAATGATTGATATAGATGACTAATGATTGTTGATATCCTGCACTAAGTCTGAGCTAATAATAATAATAAGTTATGGAATGATTCATTCATT